AAGAGGGAGAGGAAAGAGGGAGGAGGGGGAAGAAAACAATTTTTCCAGCATTTCAGATTCACAATTTTGTGCTTGAGTAACTAAGCCTTTGGAATTTGCAAACTTTTATTAAAACTCCCAAATGAAACATTTTGCTCTTTACCCCAGTGTGGGGTGGATAATAAACTCTTTTTTTCCCTAACAATGAATGACTATATAAAAAAATAGCACCTAGTAGTAATCTGACAAAGGTATTAATAATCTGGTGGTGTTTATGATTAAATATGTAAGGGAAAAACTACAGCCTCGAAAGGCTGTGGAGTCACTGTGCACTTGCAGAAAAGAGGAAAAAATATGAAAAGATCTTATAAATATATGCCATGCTCATACACTTAACCGAGCACTGCTCCACATCCAGGGTCCAGTTCAGCAAATTATTTAAGCAATACTTAGGTGCTTAAATAATTTAGCAGTGTACAGTAGAAAGGAAAGAAAGGACAGAATTGTGGCTAGTTGGTCTGAATTACTGGGTACCATCATCCAAAAACTCTGGGCAGAAAATACACAAATTGAAAAATGCAATAGTAATCACAAATGTTCTGTCCTATCTAGAGCTTGACAATTTTTTTCAGTGAATGAATGGTTGATAAGAGTGCAGTTTTGCAGCAGCTAATGCTATTTTCAAATTCAACCTACAGTTCAGCACATACCTTTGGCTCAAGAAAGTATGAAGAAAACACAGTTCATTTCAACATTTCCTTAATGGATTGCTTCAATTGTTCGAGCTAGATTCATAAAAGGATGTAGGCCCTAATTATGAAACTGCAGAGACAGAGGTGACTGTGGTCTCCTTATAGCCAGTAGCTTAGTGGTCAGGGCACTCAACCTGGAACGTGGGAACTAGGGTACAAAGTCAATCCTTTGCCTGATTTGAAGCAAGAACTTGAACTAGATCTTCATGCAAGAGATTGAAAGAGCCATACCTCAGGAAGAGGAGATAGTTGATTTCCCAGTTTCTACATTCTGAGATGTAGGAAACAAGTTCAAATTCATGTTCTTTATCACTGGGGAGATTTGAACCCAGGCCTTTCATGTAAGCATCCTAGCTATTCAGTGTATGGGTGGGCGCAAACATTTCCTGCCTGAAACAAAATGTTTTCCTTTGACTGAAAAATGTAATAATTTTTGTTTCAGGTTGATTTTTTTCCACCAGTTTTACAGAACTGGATCTTTAATCCTAACTCTGGATTAAGGAATCTTGCAACCCATACAATCATAGAATAATTAAAATTTAAATAAAATAATTAAAATTAAAATTTGAGTTGGAAGGGACCTCTGGAAGTCATCTAGTCCAACCGCCTGACCAAAGCAGGATCATCTCCAACTATATCATCTCAGTCAAGGCTTTGTCTAGCCAGGTCTTAAAAATCTCCAAGAATGGAGATTCCACCAGCCTTCTGGGTAACCTATTCCAGTGCTTCACTACCCTCCTAGTGAGAAAGTTTTTCCTAATATCCAATGTAAACTTCCATTGTGGCACCTTGTGACCATTGTTCCTTGTTCTGTCATCTGCCACTACTGACAGCAGTCTAGCTCCATCCTCTTTGGAAGCATAGTTGAAGGCTGCTATTAACTTCCCACTCAGTCTTCTCTTCTCCAGACTAAATAAGCTCAGTTCCTTCAGCCTCTCCTCATAAGTGATGTGCCCCAGCCCCCTATCCGTTTTTGTTGCCCTCTACTGGACTATTTTCAATTTGTCTACATCCTTTCTGTAGTGGGGGGCCCACAACTGGACACCCTGATGTGATCTCACCAGTGCTGAATAGAATGGAATAATTACTTTGCTCAGTCTGCTTGCTGTGCTTCTGCTAATGCATCCCAGC